TTTATAAGATATCTTTTATACAAAATATTTATAAGATATCTATATACTTTAGATGATATCTCATAAACTTTAGAAATATAGAAAAACATACATATATAATAATGTATCGGAATTTTAATTTTATTTGTACAAGGCTTGGAAACAGGTAGAAAGCAAGGCCTTGTTGAGCATTTCTATCATGTTTTGAGCCAAATGTAAGATATCTCATATAATTTATAAGGTGTCTTATATAATTTTCTTTGAAAGATATCTTATAAATTATATGAGACATCTTATAAACTTTATGAGATACATGTATCTTATAAACTTATATAATATATCTAATTAACTATATAAGATATCTTATAAAGTAAATAAGATTTGAACAGGAGTGCACACACTGAATTGTCCTGACTGTGTAACTGGTGTTGATTGATTTCTATGTTGAAAGTCTTTAAGGTAGATGCTGTGCTTTGCTACAAGATTATTTTTGCGCCAATTGGCATTTCATTTGCGCCAATTGGCATTTCATTTGCGCCAATTGGCATTTCATTTGCGCCAATTGGCATTTCATTTGCGCCAAAATAATCTTTCATTTGCGCCACAAACCATATTTCATTTGCGCCAATTATACAGGTAAATAGTATAAAAAATAGTTTTATTCAAAAGATACCTTTAATAATAACTTTAAAACACAGTTTTTGATTGCATAATACAACATATTCCTCCGAAATCAGAGGCATCGTAACCTTTATGAAAGCACTATACACTGATAAGTTCTTAATAAGACCGTTTTCATAATAATGTTAAAACACAGTTCTGTTATAAATTAACGAGACCATAAAACCTGAAGGGAACCACTATACACTGGAGTAAAACTGAAAGTTTATTCTGACACAAGACTTGTAAGCAACGGCTCGGATGTACTGATGTACACTGGAAAACCGATAAGTGTGGTCATAAAAAAAATACAGACTTATTTCCTCTATATAAAAATAAGGAGATGTGGTATGATTGCCAATGAGACAACAACCAAAGTTAAAATGGATGAAAGCAATTATAGGCAACCGTACGGCCTTCAAAAATGAGAAAAAAACCCATACCGTATAGTTGGCCTTAAACGGCCCCGAAATGAAAAAATATGAAACAATCCAATTATGAGAAAACTAGCGGCAGTTAGACTCAGACAATGACAATCATGACAACTGAAACATGTGAAAACTATATAATTTTAAACCTAAGTGTCTCTCAGTTTTATACAAGATATGCCGGTTTATGAACTTAGTTGCCCATGGGGAAGACTCTAAAAATAATTCTTATTCACGATGTAGCAATGAATATTTTAAACTTTTCCGTTGTATGTTACCTGCAAAATGGCGCAAATGTAGTTTTTATTTTTGTTTTTTGTTTTTTGGCTCAAATGAAATATAACTGGCCTGGTGGCGCTAATGAAAGATTGGATTTTTTTTAAAATTCGGCGCAAATGCCAATGCGCCCGGTAGATTGGGTGTCTTTTTCTGAACATCTTTTCTGAGCATGTTGCTAAAATACTTTTTTAGTTTAAAAATGTTTTACCAAGAATCTTTCAATATACAACAGAAACATAAAATTTTGAATTTTAAGGATTATTATAAAAAAAATTCGAAAGGGTTCCGCGGAACCCAGTGTCTCGCCTACTTTTGCTGTTAATCGCAGGCTCAACCAAAATGAGGAAAAAAATAATAATATTCCTTTCGATACAATCTTTTGATTGTAAGAAGCTTCTGTCCAAGTTTGGTAAAAACCCAGGATAGTTTATGAATCTAATAAATGTTTTAAATCTTTAACTGCAGACTGTGTGTAATGTTAACTGGAAGAAAAACTAAGTCCATTTATAAGTAAAATACGGATAAACAGGTACAAAATTTCCTTCTAGATACTAGCTTTTGATCATAAACAAGCTTCTGACCAAGTTTGGTACAAATCTAGGATAGTTTAAGAAAGTTATTAAAATTTTAAAAACTTTAACCACAGAGTGAATGTAATGTTTCCTGGCAGAAAAACTAAGTCCATTTATAAGTTAAATACGGAAAAAATGGAATTTTGTTTTTTACAAATTTACTTCTGGATACTATCTTATGATCATAAACAAGCCTCTGTCTAAGTTTGGTACAAATCCAGGATAGTTTAAGAAAGTTATTAAAATTTTAAAAACTTTGACCACAGAGTGAATGGAATGTTTCCTGGCAGAAAAACTAAGTCCATTTATAAGTAAAAAAGGGAAAAACAGGATTTTTTTTTTTTACAAAATTTAATTCTGGATACTATCTTATGATCATAAACAAGCTTCTGTCCAAGTTTGGTAGAAATCCAGGAAAGTTTAAGAAAGTTATTAAAATTTCAAAAACTTTAACCACAGAGTGAATATTTGTGGACGCCGCCGACGACGCCGACGGAATGTAGGATCGCTATGTCTCGCTTTTTCGACAAAAGTCGAAGGCTCGACAAAAATGAAGTGTCAGTAAGTGTATTTGATTTTTTTTTAAAAAAGCCTTTTAAAATCAAGGGCAGATGATTATAGTGAATTTGTTTGTTTGTTTTTTTTTTTTCATTTTTCAAGAATATTAGGCCTGTGACCCCTTAATTTTATTTGATATTTCGGAAGTATTTATGAAAAGCAATTCTCTCATTGAATTTTAAGTAAGGAAAACATTTAGATTCCCTTATACAACCCATATATAAAATAACTGTGATTTCATTAATTTCAATGTATTTTAACGAAAAAACAAAGTCTGTGACCCCCAGTATTCATATATTCAAATTAGAAAGTACATTCACCTAAAGTCTTTTACAGAAGAAAAATCTATCGTTGAACATTTAGACACCCAAGCTACCTCAAGACCAAGGTTTTAGTACAGGTATAACAGAAAATTAACATTATAAATGATCCATGAAAATAAGGTCAATTTCAAATAAACCCTGTTAGATCGAAATGCACACCTTACAATCAATCTATACACTCACTATCGTCGGGACCTTATGGGAAGTTAATGCTGACAAAAAAAACATGAAAATAAGGTCAGATGTACGTCATCAGACAAACATTCACCTTACAATCATTCTGTTCACCAAATATAGTTGACCTATTCTTCTTTCTGAGAAACAAACCTGATCACCAAAACCAAAACTAAATGTTGATAAAAAAAAATCCATGAAAGTTAGGTCATGGCCAGATGAACCCTGTTAGACAAACATGTACACTTTATATTCATTCTGCCCATTAAATATAGTTGAATTACTTTATGAATTAGTTTGGGAGAAACTTATTGTTATACCTAATACATGTCACCACAGGCAGATTTGGGAGGGGGACCAGCGGCCCCAGGGCCCCTTATTGAAGCTATATATATGGTAGTGCATATTGCATTTTACTTTTTATATGTTCCACTACTAACACTGCCTAGTTTGGAGGCCGCATCTGTTTCAAAATCCTGGATCCGCATCAGAAGGACAAGTATACCTTGCAATGAATCTATATACAAAATGTATAAAAAAGATGTGGTTTGATTGCCAATGAGACAACTCTTCACAAGAAACCAAATGACACAGAAATTAATAACTATAGGTCACCGTACGGCCTTCAACAATGAGCAAAGCCCATATCGCATAGTCAGCTATAAAAGGCCCTGAAATGACAAATGTAAAACAATTCAAATGAGAAAACTAACAGCCTAATAAATGTAAAAAAATGAACGAAAAACAAAAATGTAACACAGCAACAAACGACAACCACTGAATTACAGGCTCCTGACTTGGGACAGGCACATACATACAGAATGTGGCGAAGTTAAACATGTAAGCGTGAACCCAACACTCTCCCTAACCTGGGACAGTGGTGTAACAGTACAACATAAGAATGAACTATAAAAATCAGTTAAAAAAGGCTTAACTCATCAGATGGATACAAATAGAAATACATCTAACAAAAACACAGAGTGGACGTGGCCGGGTACTTGTACATCCCAACAACAAAAAAAACACTAAGTACAGATCTGAGAGTACTCGCAGTTACTGACAGCTAGTTCAAAGACAATAACAACTAATAAAAAAAATTATGCATCCAAGACTAAATTATCCATCAGTACACATCCAACATCCAATGGATTTAGTGTAAAGACGTCATAAACAGTCAGAGAAAAACATGACCTTGTGAAATACCAAGATAGTAGATAGTAGTCCATATTACCATAAAAACTGTCCAAGTCATGTAAAAACCCTATACATTTTATAAGTGGTTATTGAACCTTAAAAATGGAATCAAGGCAATGGTCATATGCAAGATTAAATAAATTGTTAACACAGAGATATGTCTCGCTTTTTTTGTTATTTTGATTATAAAATGCCAATAGCAATACTTTCAATGACTTTAACATGTAAATCAATGAACCATGACTGAAGGTACAGGACCAAACAATCTCCATGGAAATGAGATGTACCAATGCTAATACAACTGCATACCAAATATCATTGACCTACCACTAGAAGTTCCCCATAAAACTGACCTAATTACAAGCTAATACATTATTGACGCCGCTGAATGCAGGAAACAGCATACTGATGTCTCCCCTTTTGACTCCGTCAAGGTGAGACAAAAATCAGACCATAAGGCATCTGCATACCAAATATGGATTATCCAGCTCTTCCACCGTCTGGATAGATCAGTATCCCTATGTTTTTCATGTGACAGAAAGGTCAATAAATTAGATCATTTTTAAAAGCATTCTAGATCTATTAAAAGAATTTGCAGCCAATCAGGTGATCAGCAAGTCCAATGAACAATTCTGTAAAGTAATGCCAAAAGTATCATTTGTGTAGTCTGGTTTAAAATAGCCAAGAAGTTTCTTGAAAATTTCAAAAAATTTAAAGAATGATAATGATAAGACACCAAGTGAAGGGAATATAAATTATTTGTCATACCCATGACCACAGAAACCTCTTCCCCCTTCATTTGTCATCCAGACTCAAATGAGATATAAGAAGGGTTTTCTCAAATAAATTTTATTTACCATTTAATTTTATTATCATCATGCATCATAATACAAAATACCCAAATGAAACAAGACACAATCTGTGTCATCAGGTGTACATAAATATAAAAGAAATTGTAACTATTAAGCTTTTGGCCACAGTCAGTTACAGATCCAGGATTTTTCAAAAAGAGGGGTGAAATTTTGTAAAACTGTATATAATTCACCAAGCTTAGCTAGGTGAAAAAAAAATTTTGGAAAATTTTTATGCTAAAATATCATATTAACTGAGAAACATGAGATTTTTTTGTGCAAATAAAAGGGGAGTATGCCTGTACAATCCCCCCCTTTCCCTGGATCCGCCACTACCAGTTAAAAATTAACTGTATAATTACAAGGAGGAAAAGGACCTGAATCATAGGTTAGGTAAATATTACAATTATACAAAATAAATAAATAACAGTACTGAGGATTCTTTCTGATCAATTTCTCAGATTGGTTGTTACAGAAAAAAAGATGTCCGTTTTGAGATACAGTTTTTGTTTTAAGTTTTGTATAAGATTCTATTAAAATTACTTTTTTTTTTGCTTAATATAAAAACTTGAGGCTTCACATTACTTAATACCAAACTTTTTTTTTGAAAGAATTCCATAAAATCTATGAATCCTCAGTTTGTCTTATCCTTTTAAAAAAGACTATAAAAATATAACAATTTTCATACAAAGGAAAACTCTGGTAAAAACTGTGATAAAAAAGGTTTAAAATACATGAAATAAATTCATTTTTGAGATGTACTCAACATATTTACTAAAAATCTTGATCTGTGCGCAAATTATTAAATCACTAAGGTAAAAAAATTACTATTTAATTCCTCATATTTAACCCTAAGGTGTTTTTTTAAGGTTTTATTTATTTTCCACCCTATTTCTTAGCAAACGAATTTAATTTCTATCTTGAAGTAGTATATGTATACCGGTATATATTTTCATTTAAGGAATCAAGTACTTTTTCCAAGTAAGGGAATAATTAGAATCAAGTTTTATTTCTTATAAAAAAAAATAAGAAGAAGTGGTATGAGTGCCAATGAGACAACACTCCATCCAATCATCCATAGTCCGATTTATCCATAAGGAAATGTAGTATAGTAAGCAAGTGTATCATCTGTTTGCTCATCCATCTACAAGTTCCAACCATAATTAAAGGATCAAATGAACTTTTCCTAAACTTTCAAATATTCTTCAGTATCTGTTGACATTGTATTCCTTTTTTTTTACTTCTAAAGGTTCTCCAATGGTGCAATGGATTTTTACATTTCTATCATCTTATTACTCATTATTGAAGGATAGGATGGTTCATCTGATATGAACATATATTTAGTTAGAGCAGATTCTGAACTTGCATCCATAAATCTTGCAATTTGGTTAATATTCAAGGATTGAATCAATAATAGCTTAATTCATTCATTTTCTATTTTATCTTTGAAGAAAGAGTTAAAAGCATAAACATGTCAGATCTCATTACGTAAATAAAAATTTTGTATTACATGTACATGTATAAGAAAATCTATCAATTTTGACCAAAAACTTGATCATATTAAGGCTTGGTATAACAAGTTTTGACAATAAAAACAAATAAAATCATATAAAAACCACTAAAATAATATAAAACCAGATAAAACACAAATCTTGTTATAGAAAAGCCTTATCAAGTTTAATTAAAAGCTACAGTGGTAATATATTAGTGTCTTAAAGCAAATTTTATTCTAAATTCTTTTTAATGTTATGAAAATTTAGTCATAATGAGATCGAACTATTAAAAACAGATTAAAAACACAGAAAATATTCAAACCAACCTATCCTTCACAAGAATCTGAAAGTTTTAATAAACACCTTCAAATAGTAATATAAGCTATGGATGAGAGATGATGATGGACAAACAGACAGATAAATCTGCTTTAACTGACCATTTCATGCTTGCTTCGAGTGCAGAAGGTCATGGGAAATTGCTAATCATGCAGCATTTAGGAGCAAGTGCAAAGACTGGTGGGCTCCAAGTCAGAATAATGTGTCCGGGTATGGTTACATGTCTTCCTGCAGATTGTTACCGTGTGAGCAGGGCAGCACATTAAAAAATCTAGCTCAGGGTGTCATTCTTGTACAAAGCCGGGTCTATATTCATATCACATTTTCATGTTATCCTAAAATGCATTTAATTTGCCACTGGACATTAAACAGTAATTTGCCCATCAAAATCAATAAAAAAATACTTTATAGGTTCCTGATTATAATCTTGGGTAAATAGTTCATAAGAAGTTGAGCACAAGACTGAAAAAAACCTTAAAATACGTCCTTAACAATATAAATAACAATGAACGAGAAACAACATAAAAATCATCACATAAAAATGGAAAAAAAAGAATCTGCAAAAACTGTGTAATTATTTTTACTTGAGTGGCGTCAGATGCTGAATAATGCATTTATTATATATAAACAAAACCAATAAAAAAAACTGACAGCCATTTATTTGTTTAAATGTACAGAAAGTGGAGTCAAACCCAAAACATAACCAAACATTTTTATTTGCATTCACAATCACCAAATTTAAATTACCGGGAATATATTTTATATTCCCTTCAGTGTTTAGCCATCAAATTTCTACTTTATTGATTTTTTGCAAAATTCATTTCACAAAGCACTTGTAAGACTTACACATACAAAACATAAAAAATACATGTTTAAACTAATATATGTCTTATGGGTACTTTGTGAAACCAATAGAGCATACCTTTGGAGTCCCTCAAATAAAATAATTTTGCAGTTTTATTTTTCATCGATCATAATACAATAATTGAATGCATGTAAAAATAATGAAAAAAATATATCTATAATTTTGATACCTCAATACACAGCAATAAAAACAAAATTCATTCTTCTGCTTACAATAAATTACTGTCTACGGATTCTACTAAAAATATAGCAACAGTACATCCGATGGTTTGCAGGATTATTGTCTGAGTATTTTACCATACAAGGCAGCAACAGTAACACTTCAACTGAAAAAAAAAAAGAGTGGAATTTAAATTTTTAATACTTAATATTAAAATAATCTTAAGTGTGTATAAATAAATAAATGGGGGACCTTCTAACTCAAGAACTGTAAAAGTGACGCTACTCAAATTTGTACTTGATCGGTGTTTTGTGGTAATAAGCAGTGTGTATAAATTTCATTATATTTGGTTGACGCAAACTAAAGTAAGAGAACAGAAACCAATTTTGGGACGTACGGACAAGGGCATAAAAATTGTGGCAATTTTTCATTAAACTAGAGGCTCTCAAGAGCCTGTGTCGCTCACCTGTATTTACTGATGCTTTGGAAATCATGTAAAATTAGGTTAAAATCATAATTAATAGTATTAGATATTAGATATTATAATGATATCAAAGATAATAACAAAAAACTGCAAAATTTCTGTAAAATTACTAACTCAAGGCAGCAACCCAACAACGGGTTGTTGGATTCGTCTGAAAATGTCAAGGCAGATAAATTTTAATCTGATGAACATTTTTGACACCTCTAAGATTTGCTCTAAATGCTTTAGTTTCAGAGATATAAACCAAAAACTGCATTTTACCCCTATGTTCTATTTTTAACCAAGTAGGCCATGATGGTTGGAAGGCGGGGTCATCGGACAAATTTTTTAAACTAGATACCCTAATAATGATTATGGCCAAGTATGGTTAAATTTGTCTCAGTAGTTTCAGAGAAGATTTTTGTAAAAGATAACAAAAATTTACGAAAAATTGTTAAAAATTGACTATAAAGGGCAATAACTCCTAAAGGGGTCGACTGACAATTTTGGTCATGACGACTTATTTGTAGATCTTACTTTGCTGAACGTTATTGCTGTTTACAGTTTATCTCTATCTATAATAATATTCGAGATAATAACCAAAAACTGCAAAATTTCCTAAAAATTACCAATTCAGGGACAGCAACCCAACAACAGGTTGTCAGATTTGTCTGAAAATTTCGAGGCAGATAGATCTTGACCTGATAATCAGTTTTATCCAAGTCAGATTTACTCTAAATGCTTTGGTTTCAGAGATATAAGCCAAAATCTACATTTTACCCCTATGTTCTATTTTTAGCCATGGCGGCCATCTTGGTAGGTTGACGGGGTCATCGGACACATTTTTTAAACTAGATACCCTTATGATGATTGTGGCCAAGTTTGGTTAAATTTGGCCAAGTGGTTTCAGAGAAGATTTTTGTGAAAAGCTTACGACGACGGACGACGGACGCCAAGTGATGAGAAAAGCTCACTTGGCCCTTCGGGCCAGGTGAGCTAATAAAAAGATATCAGTGCATGTAAAAACTATTTGTTTGCTACATATATTTACTGATTACACCAAAATATAGGGTATTAAAATTGTGCAGCTATTGTAAAAATGAAAATGAATTTTCTAGTCATTACAGCGCTAGCTGAACCCAAAAATTTGAACGATCTTTTGAAATATTGATCAAATTTAGAAGCTTCTGAAAAATTGATAAACTCGACCATCTTTATACTCATATAATGAAACATAATTTTGTTGTTGATAAGTTGTAGTTTATTGACTCCTAATCCAAAAATTTGTTTTCTCCATGATAAAATGTAGAAATTTAATTTATAATGAAAAAAAGAGTCTAAAAGAAAAGCTGTAATACATTTTTTATGATAGCCGAGGTTTTAACCTTACAATAAAAAGTGAGTTAGCTCCCCTAAATATCTCTTATTCAGTACCTGCTGATAAGGTACATCATTTATCAAATGAGATATCTACTTTTAAAGGTACATTTTATATTTTAATATATTTAGGATAGATGTATAGATATCTAGGGACAAATCCGACATTCGCAATAAGATAACACATAGATTTAAAGTGTATGTTGAATAAAATCTCACCTTAAATCAGCTCCGATTACAACCCCAACAAGTAACCCTATGGCAATGCTGTGATGCTAACCTGGAATACAAAGTTGGTTAGTTATTCTCAACTTTTCAACAACAAAAGATCATCATAATAAATTTAAAATAGTACTAGGATAACAACTAAAAACTCATGTAAACAAAAATTTGGCATTCTGAATGATAAACTCATAAAAGTTTAAGATTTGAAATAGAAAAAAAATCAACCTGTATTAAATCATAGTGTATAATTCATGTTTTGGTACTTTAAACATTTATAAAATTGATGTCAAATACTACAAGATAAAAAAAAATTTGTAAGAGTTCCGCAGATCCCAGTGTCTCACCTACTTTTGCTGTTGTCTAGGTCTTATGGTTTATGAATCTAATAAATGTTTTAAAAACTATAACTGCAGTCTGTATGTAATGTTAACTGGAAGAAAAACTAAGTCCATTTATAAGTTATATACAGAAAAACAGGAAATAAATTTTAACAAAATTTCCTTCTAGATACTAGCTTTTGATCATAAACAAGCTTCTGTCCAAGTTTTGTACAAATCCAGGATAGTTTAAGAAAGTTATTAAAATTTTTAAAACACAGAGTGAATGTAATATTAACTGGCAGAAAAACCAAGTCAATTTATAAGTAAAATACAGATAAACAGGATTTTTTTTTAACAAAATTTACTTCTGGATACTATCTTATGATCATTAACAAGCTTCCATTCAAGTTTGGTAGAAATCCAGGATATTTTAAGAAAGTTATTAAAATTTCAAAAACTTTAACCACAGAGTGAATATTTGTGGACATCGGCGCCGACGACGGCATGTAGGATCGCTATGTCTCGCTTTTGCAACAAAAATGTGTCCAAGGACACGAATGCCCCATTCAAGCGTGAAAATACTTTTTGAAAGCATTTGATGTTACTGCTAGTGTGAAAAATGCAAAACTTGCAATTTATCAAGTTATATAGGGACAAAACTCTAGAACGGTAAGTGACTCACTGCCCAAATTTAAACTCTGCAAGGTTTTGTTCTTAACATCTTATATTATTTTCATGAACATTGGAGAAAATCCTAGTTGTGTGTGGAACCAAAAATGGGACAGACGGACGGACGGAGGTTTAAAGGTAGCACCTTATGACCCCTTCGCCTAGATGCAGTGGCATAAATAGTTTTAATACCTACCAACATTTTAACAGTATCAGATATCCAAGTCTTACTCCCAACACCTATGAAAACATTGTCATTACAACATCCTAAAATTAAAAAAAATTAAGAAAATATACTTGTTTTACAGATCAACCTATACCTTAGAAGACTAACGAAATCATGCTATTTGTTTATACCTGTCTTAAGTCAGGAATCTGATGTTCAGTAGTTGTCGTTTGTTGATGTGGTTCATAAGTGTTTCTCGTTTTTTATATAGATTAGACCGTTGGTTTTCCTGTTTGAATGGTTTTACACGTCATTTTGGGGGCACTCTATAGCTTGCTGTTCGGTGTTATCCAAGGCTCTGGGTTGAAGACCTTACTTTGACCTATAATGGTTTACTTTTACAAATTGTGACTTGGATGGAGAGTTGTCTCATTGGCACTGATCCCACATCTTCTTATATCTATGTTTTATTGTTTACAAAATTGTTGTCTACTGTGGATTATTATTTGTGGGATACCAATTTTCATAGATTTCATGGGTAAAGGTGACCACTAATTCAAATGTTCCACAAAGTACTAATTTTTGTTGATTTCATGGATATAGGTGACCACTAATTCAAATGTTCCACAAAGTATAAATTTTTGTTGATTTCATGGGTATAGGTGACCACTAATTCAAATGTTCCACAAAGTACTAATTTTTGTTGATTTCATGGATATAGGTGACCACTAATTCAAATGTTCCACAAAGTACTAATTTTCATGGATTTCATGGGTATAGGTGACCACTAATTCAAATGTTCCACAAAGTATAAATTTTTGTTGATTGCATGGGTATAGGTGACCACTAATTCAAATGTTCCACAAAGTACTAATTTTCATAGATTTCATGGATATAGGTGACCACTAATTCAAATGTTCCACAAAGTACTAATTTTCATGGATTTCATGGGTATAGGTGACCACTAATTCAAATGTTCCACAAAGTACTAATTTTTGTGGATTTCATGGGTATAGGTGACCACTAATTCAAATGTTCCATAAAGTACTAATTTTTGTTGATTTCATGGGTATAGGTGACCACTAACTCAAATGTTCCACAAAGTACTAATTTTCTATAGGCTTGTTTGCAGACTTTGGCAAAATCTTGAAATCAAATATCCATTCCATGAAAATGTTTACCCACAAAACAAATGAGTCCACAGTATAATCTTCAATATGTAAACATGATACCAACGGTTGAAAACAAATAAATACAAATATCGTATTACAAATGATTGGGGTCATATTTCAAAACAAAAATATGTAAGCTACGTAATGATGTAGATATCATCAAAGTCAACATTGATAGAAAAGAACCCTAAAGAATTGTTTTTGAATGTCTATATTTATAAAATTATCAGTGGCAGATCCACAGGGTGAAGAGGGCATACGTCCCTTTTGATCGCCCCCAAAATAATTATTTCAGATTTATATATTTAAGCATAAAATTGTCCAATTATTTTGTCATACATACAACAGTATATAATGTGTCTTACGGAATAACGCCCCGCCCCCTTTTTAAAAAATCCTGGATCTGCCCCTGATTATTACCTTAAATTTTTTGAATATTTAAACTTACCACATATTTCTCATAGTAAAGCCTCAGACTTGGTTAAGATTTAATTGACCATCTTCCTTAGAGCTGTTTTTCTGGCTGCCAAGGTTGCTGTCCTCATCTTTTTGTCAATCTATTTTTTTGTCCGTTTGTTTTTCTTAATAAATTTATACATATAAAAATATCAGATGCTCTTTTGAAAAATCAGCTTTTTTGAAAAAATTTATCAAATGATTTTTACCAAATAACCAAACCATAACAGATCCCACCCTACATATCTATTATTTAGACTTTTGTTTACATATTTTTTCTTTTACAGAGCTCTAAATAATAGTAAATTTTAGCAAGTATACATCTGATATTTAAAAACACCAAACTTATACAAATATCAATCTTAAAGTACATTATAAGTTAAATTTCCTATTACTGAGGGAATTTCTCAGAAAATATGATGAGTTAAACAGGGGTATTACTTCCCTTTGCCCAAAATTTCACCGTTAAAAATCCACATTCTTGCTATATTTTACAAAAATATAAAATATAGCACAATTAAAATTAAAAAATAATAAAATAACAAAAATTCAGCACATTTTAATAAATTTTACTTTAGTGTTCACCTATGGGCCATGGTGGCCAATCGTGTGTAAAGAGATGTTAAGCACCAAAAATCAATCAATCAATCAATATATTTCCCCCAAGCTATTCTTCAACTATACTTTTTCACAATATTCTTAAAAATGTTTATGCTTCATTACAAACGCAGCATAAAAAAAACAAAAAAAATTACAAGATAAATATCTAACAATCGGGAAACCCAAAAAATACTGTTCAATACAATAACATTTTTTTCTTTTCTTTTTCTTTTTTCTTCTTTTTTTTAGATTATCCATTCTTAACCTACTGGAAGTGTTTGGACTAGACACTGACCATAATCAATACATCTAAAGTAGGTCAAAACCAGATCATTATCCTTAACCATGACAAAAAAATGTCAGACAATAATGGACATGAGCAGAGCTATCGGAATAACACATGGGGCTAAAAAGGAAACATATCAAATTCAAAATACAAGATAATGTACAACTTCATATCCGGTTGAAAATGGAGAATCTTTACAATCTTTTTTTTTTTTTTTTTATGTTAAAAATTATTAACAATTCCTGAAACATACACAAAAATTGTCTGAATTACATTCTTTACTGTTACATCACACAGCCATTTAATGCAGCCACAGTTAAAATTATCTGAAAAAGAAATATACATTATAAACATAGCTGTCAAAACAATATAAAAACTGAAACAATATTTAATGCAAAATAATAACCAAAGTGATTTGTTGACATATATTTTTTAACAGTAAATTCAGAAATTAAAGCGTGCATTTGTTATTACGATTTTTAAAAGAATGGACAAAACATGTGAGATTAATTATTGCAATTCAGGAAAATCTTTATACAGATATATGTATCAGATATCAGAATGTGAGTTCTTATTATTGCGATACTCAACCAGTATTTCACATTAATAAAAACCTTGCAATAATTTCTGGATTCACAATACGAGTTTTTATTAGCAAATAAGGATGAAAACCAAGTTGTTTGTTGCTGTCTGTCAAATTTAATTTGAATTTTCAACATTTTCAACAATGTTTGAACATTAATCAAGCAAACGGTTTTCTAATTTTATTTGTTTCACAAAATTGTCATGTTGGGGTCTTTATAGCTTACTGTACAGGCCATGTTGTTCATTGTTGAAGGATGTACAGTGGCACTTTAGTTCCTTACAATCATCATATGGTCTCGGGTTGATAAATGTCTCATTGGCAATCATACCACATCTTCTTATTTATAATAATAATGGATGAATAGTTCATAAATCTTTGTATTGGTTCTTACCATAAAAGTCAGCGCCAATGGCCCTTCTCAGCCTCAATCCTTACAGACAAGCTGTGATGCTAACCTGAAATATGAAATGCTTCATCAATAAAAATTGTTTAAAAGGATCATAGACTATTTATTATATATATATATATAGAAATGGGTTCATATCTTTTAGACTCATAGAAATGGGTTATATATATATATGTAATAGATGTTGAAAACATGTCGATTAGACAGAAATCCAGCAACCAAATAAATTTTTAATGTAAAGATTTTTAATTTACTCATATAAAATGGTACTGATAAAAGAGAGTAGACTTCTGACCAAACTCTTAAACTTTCAAGCCTAGGGGACATGATTTCTAAAAATATTTTTTATAATACAATTTTTTAATTTTTTTTTTTATCAAAAACAGGAATAACATACTGGTACCTACCTACATATTAGCTGTATTAGACCACCAAGTCTTACTCCCACACCATGAAAACATTTGTCTCAGAAAGAACCTAAAATACAAATTAAAATTGACACATTATATAATTTTTACAAATCCATTTCTGTTGACCTCAAATTTACTATCAACACCAGTTTGCAAAATTAATGAGATGGAAAACAAAAAATAAGTCAAAGATTAATGACTTGAATTTCAACTGCACAAAAATCATCTGCATGTTTTACAGAGTTATCTCCCATTGAATGAACAAAAACTTGCTATAAATTGTACTTGTCTCAGGATTTTCTATTGTTATTCAAATAGAAATTCTTGTTCAACTTAACCTGATATCTTAATATATTAAACCCTTAAAATTAATTCCGCAATGGTGTTTTCTAATCAGAAGTTCTAGAAAATGTATATAAATTGTTTGGGTTAAATAAACTTGCCTGATTATTTTCTTGGTAAGGCATCAGACTTGGTTGAAGATTCATTTAACCATCTTCCATGGAGCTGTTCCTGGCTGCCAGGGTCAGGGGTTCAAATTTTCTTTAAATAATGAAAGGTCCACAACCATTTGAAATTTTAAGTGAAGGGTCCTCCATAAGAAATCAATGGTTGTGTATCAAGCATCATGTAAAGAATGGTAGGTCCTTGACTTTTGTAATTTAAAAATGAAAAGTCCTCTCCTAGAAAAGACAGGTCCCGGACCTCGGACCCACACTAATTTGAACCCCTGAGGGTGGCTGTCATTATTTTATTGCCAATCTATTTTTTGTTCGTTTGTCTTATAAATACAGTTACATATAAAAAAAAAATATCAGATGCACTTTCAACTAATAACTTTTTTGAAAAAAATTCACCAAATCAGTTTTTGTACCCAACAATTTCTCCCACCCAAGAAATCTATAATCTAGAGCTTTGCTTACATATTTTTTTTTTATTACAGAGCTCTAAATAATAATTGATATTCGGTAGTATACATCTGATATTAAAAATAAATTATACAACGTGACGTGAATATCCAAGTAAATAAAAACCTAACACTGAGGAAACTTCAAGTATGTGGAGTTTAACGGGGTATAAAAAATTACCTCCCTTTGACCTAAATTTCACTGTTAGGACTCCACATCCTTGCTATATCTAACAACAATACAAAAAATAGTAAAATTAAAAAATAATTTAATAACAAAAATCCAACACATTTCAATAATATATTAAGTACATTTTGTACATAAATTTTCACCTCTTGGTGACATGAGTGATCTTAGTAGTTCAACTAGTATAACAGTAGCCTGTCAATACTTAAGTTGTGATTTTGAACCCGGCAAGCGGTAGGTTTGACTCTGGTCTTAATTGACGAGGATTGTGAGTTTTCCTTTTAAATATCGGTGATTCTCTTATATAACTGGAGCTTCCTTCCTCAATAAAAAAAATGGCCATCAAGATATAGCCAATAGTGCTCAAAGTGGTGTTAAAAACACCAAAAATCAATCAATCAATCTATTTTCACAAAGATATTCTTCAACTATACTTCTTGCAAAATATTATTACAAACTTTTATTCTTCCTTAGAAACTCAAATTAAAAAAACCAAAAAGTTGGCAAAAATATATATATCTAACGATCAATAATCAATAAAACAAAAAATACATTATAATAAAATTTACATTTTTTTCTTTTTCTTTTCTTTTCCTTTTTTTTTTTTTTTTTAGATTCTCCGTTCTTAACGGACTAGGAGTGTTTTGACTAGACACATACCAATACAAATCAGTTCAGTATCCATAAGCATGACAAAAAGAAATGTCAAGACAATTCTGGACATGAGTAGAGCTATCAGAGTACAGCCATGAGGCTAAAATGGAAAAAAGATTTTAAAAATTTTTAATACAAGTTAACATTCTACTTCCAATCTTGTTGAAAATGGAGAATCTTTACATTTTTTTTTTTTGTAAAAAATTATTAACAATTTCTCAAACATACACAAAAATTGTCTGAATAACATTCTTCACTGTTACAGTTATATCACTCAGCCACAGTTAAAGTTACCTGAAAAATAAATAGACATTCTTAAAGATAGAAGATAGCTGTCAACACTATATAGAAATTGAAACAAAATCTAGTGCAAAAGGATAATTAGTAATTTGATATTGTATATTTGTAGCTACCAGTTTTTATTAGCAAATTAGAATGAAAAAAATTGTTGGTCGCTGTCAGTCATATGGCCGGCGAACACAGTTATTTCGTAGTGCATTTCTTTTAGAGAATAAAGTCAAATTAAAAAAATCGCACCTGCTTCATCTCAAAAAGATTTTTACAGTGTAGTGTACTACTATTGGGACAAATAATATCAAAATTATAGAAAAGTCTACCAGCTCTAACTCAAAATATTGACAATTCTATGTTAAGGGAGTCTAAATTTCAGTTGGACAGCTTCAGTCATACTAGTTTTTGACCTTTTTTAACTGGACCAAATCACTACTTAACAAAGATTCAGCACCCCAATTTTTTTAACATGTAATTTCATCCCCTTACTTAATATTTCATGCATTAAAATATCAAGAAATAAATTTGGAAAGTGTATGAAAAAAATTTGCAAGTTATACACTGTCCACACTAGGGACTATATTTGTAGACAACGAAAATCTGACGACGATAACTGTGTCCTCGGACCGTATTTGATTTGTTTCATAATAAATCAGGCAAATGGTTTTTGCGTTTGAATTGTTTCACATTTTGTCATATTTGGGACTTTTATAGCTTACTATATATGACAGGTGTTGTTCAATGCTGAAGGATGTACAGTGACATTTAGTTGCCTACATCCACATCATTTGGTCTCTGGTTTATAGTTGTCTTGTTGGCAATCATACCACTTCTCCTTTTTTTCATTTTGGGGGACAAATTTAAATACAAAAAACAGAAAATAAGATATCCAAAATTTATCTTGCTTAACCACCTTCCAGATTATATATATGTAAGACTCAGATCGACGTCCACATCTGACGTCATTATAAAATAAGATATGCCCCTCTCATCGACGTCTTTCTTCTTATCAAATCGATGTCCAATTTTTGTCTTCTCTAATTGATGTCCTTTTAACGGACTTGCTGCAATGACATCATAACTTTATTCATTGGTGGGTTTAACCTAAAACTCAAAAAGTTGTTAAAAAAATATATATGATTTTAAATCTTACATTATCCAAATAAAAATAACAATTGGCTGTACTTTTTTTATGTTTATTGTTTGAGACAGTGTATATTGTCCTCTATATGTCACTGGATTATCTTTGTTGTTAGGTTGTTGTCACCTTGTCGTATATCCACATTTATATGAATATGAAAAGAATACAACAACGTAGATCAAGAGGACTCCTTTCACCAAAATATTCAAAATGTGCATGTACATGTAATATGATGTCGGTGGTTGTCTCATTATCATTTTCTGATGTTTGTCCTTTTATTTTGATAAAGATATAAGGAAACAATCAGTTTCTTTAAGCAGCTGTACACCAAGACAAAACTATACAGATAATATGAACAGAGATCAAATTATATAAACAATTGAATGATATTGGACATCGATGAGAGGAGACTCCGACTGAGGACATTGTTTTGGTAATAACGTCACATTGGACGTCGATTAGAGGGTAAAAATATTGGACACTGATTTGAGAAGGTAACGTCACACTGGACATCGATTAGAGACCGGACGTCGATCTGAGTCTAACATATATACAATTATAACTTGAAGAAACAATTAAATATTAGCTCTACATTTGTGCATATTTAAAATCTAGAAGCATTTATATGCTCTTAGATGAATATTTAATAAAAATTTGCATTGGTTCTTACCATAAAGGTCAGCTCCAAATGGCCATTACCAGCTTCAATCCTTACAGACAAGCTGTGATGCTAATCTGAAATATGAAATGCTTAGACATTCAAATTGTTTAAAAGGATCACTGTTGGTATACTATATGTATATTAGATAGAAATGGGTTATATCAATGAAATTGATGTTGAGATTAGACAGCAATCCAACAATCCAGCAAATGTTTAAGCAATCAATTCAGATCCTTAAATTTACTCATATAATGATACTGATAAAAGAAAGAGTAAACTTCTGAACAAAACCCTTATAAACCTCCAGGCCTAGAGGACATAATTTTTTCCAAATATTTTGTAAAATACTTTTCTTGTTTTTCCTTCAAAGCAGGAGTAACATACTGGTACCTACCTATGTATTAGCTGTATTAGACCGCCAAGTTTTATTCCCACACCATGAAAACATTTCGCAGAAACACCCTAAAAAGAAATTACAAATTGACACATTACATATTTTTTCCAAATCCATTTCTCTGTCAACCTCAAATTAAATATCAACAACAGTTTGTAAAATTAATCTTAGAAATAAGTCAAAGATTTATTACCAGTTTGAATTTCAACTGCACAAAAATTATCTGCATAATTTACAGAGTTATCTCCCATTGCATGAAAAAATCTTGGCGGTTTATTGTATTGACTATATATCAACACCAGTTTGTAAAATAAATCTTAGAAATAAGTCAAAGATTTATTATGAGTTTGAATTTCAACTACACAAACATCATCTGCATATTTTACAGAGTTATCTCCCATTGAATGAAAAAAACTTGGCTGTTTATTGTATTGACTGTGAGTCTCCCTTTGAAGTTTATTCCTATCTAAGGATTTTCTATTGCTATTTTAACAGAAAGTCTTGTTCATGTACGTGGTATCTTAAAATATCAAACTGAAAATTAATTCCAAAATGGTGTTATGAATGCTATAGAGGAGATAGATGCTGTTTGTTGTCTTTTTTATAAAGTGCCAGTCTTTGTAAGAATCAGGCATTTTTGAAAAAAATCAAAACATGGCCGAAAAAACCCATAGACCTAACCACCCTATTTTGAAGGTACCGTCATCCCGAGTTAAAAATGGTAGGTCTTTTGTTTCTGCTTGTCTGGTAATTTGAGAAATATCTAGATAAATTTTGGTTAGAATGATAGCAAATTACGGAGTTATTTCCCCTTAATTATTAATTTCTAGTGCATTTCAACCAAATTATATCTTGAATTACAAGAACAGGGAAAGGAAACAAATGTTATATTCATGCATCATTATACATTCTGAACTTAAATTAATGTTAAGTTGAGCCTGTTTTTGTTTGTCATGTTTTCACCACTGCCCGATTCTTAGGCATATTGGCATTTAACAAATATTCACTTTTTTATCAAAAGTTCTAGAGAATGAATAGAAACTGTTTGGCTTAAATAAACTTGCCTTATTATTTTCTTGGTAAGGCCTCAGACTTGGTTGAAGATTTAATTGACCATCTTCCTTGGAGCTGCTGTCCAGACTGCTTTTTTGCTCTTCACCACAGGTTTTTATGCTAATCAGTTCACTGAATCCATTTTATACAATTAATGAAATGTCCTTTCCATAGTACAAATATACAATTGTCACCAGAATATTCCAAAGCACATTTTCTTCCAATCATGGCAACTGGAGTAATTCTCAATGTAACATACAAATGATTTATTAAATTCTTTCATAAAATACTGTAAAAATACCAGATGTGCTATTAAACAGGTAACTTTCTTTTACATTGAAAATTTACCAATTGCTTACATTTTTTTTTTAATTACAGAGCTCTAAATAATAGCTTATATATTGCTTAGCAGACATCTGATATGTAAGTACTTTAATGCAAATGTAATAAAAAAACTAGAGGCTCTAAAGAGCCTGTGTCGCTCACCTTGGTCTATGTGCATATTAAACAAAGGACATAGATAGATTCATGACAAAATTGTGTTTTGGTGATGGTGATATGTTTGTAGATCTTACTTTACTGAACATTCTTGCTCCTTACTACTATCTCTATCTATAATGAACTTGGCCGTGAAGTTACAGTGGAAAATACTTTGTAAAAATTTACAAAAATTTACAAAATTTATGAAAATTGTAAAAAATTGACTATAAAGGGCAATAACTCCTTAAGGGGTCAATTGACAATTTTGGTCATGTTGCCTTATTTGTAGATCTAATTTGCTGTACATTATTGCTGTTTACAGTTTATCTCTATCTATAATAATATTCAAGATAATAACCAAAAGCTGCAAAATTTTCTTAAAATTACCAATTCAGGGGCAGCAACCCAACAACGTGTTGCCTGATTGGTCTGAAAATTTCAGGGCAGATAGATCTTCACCTAATGAACAATTTTATCCTCATCAGATTTGCTCTAAATGCTTTGGTTTCAGAGATATGAGCCAAAAACTGCATTTTACCCTATGTACTATTTTTTAGCCATGTCGGCCATCTTGGTTCGCGAGCGGTGTCATCGGACACATTTTTTAAACTAGATACCCTAATGATGATTGTGGACAAGTTTGGTTAAATTTGTCTTAGTAGTTTCAGAGGAAAAGATTTTTGTAAAAAAATACAAAAATTTACGAAAAATGGTTAAAAATTGACTATAAAGGGCAATAACTCCTTAAGGGGTCAACTGACCATTTTGGTCATGTTGACTTATTTGTAGATCTTACTTTGCTGAACATTATTGCTGTTTACAGTTTATCTCTATCTATAATAATATTCAAGATAATAACCAAAAACGGCAAAATTTCCTTAAAATTACCAATTCAGGGGCAGCAACCCAACAACATGTTGCCTGATTGGTCTGAAAATTTCAGGGCAGATAGATCTTGACCTAATGAACAATTTTATCCTCATCAGATTTGCTCTAAATGCTTTGGTGTTAGAGATATGAGCCAAAAACTGCATTTTACCCTATGTACTATTTTTTAGCCATATCGGCCATCTTGGTTCGCGGGCGGGGTCATCGGACACATTTTTTAAACTAAATACCCTAATGATGATTGTGGACAAGTTTGGTTAAATTTGTCTTAGTAGTTATAGAGGAGAAGATTTTTGTAAAAGATTACAAAAATTTACGAAAAATGGTTAAAAATTGACTATAAAGGGCAATAACTCCTTAAGGGGTCAACTGACCATTTTGGTCATGTTGACTTATTTGTAGATCTTACTCTGCTGAACATTATTGCTGTTTACAGTTTATCTCTATCTATAATAATATTCAAGATAATTACCAATAAAATGCTTCGCTGGGCGCAGCTTGATACGACCGCAGAGGTCGAACCCTGAACAGTTGGGGCAAGTATGGACACAACATTCAAGCTTGATACAGCTCTGAATTTGGATTGTGATTAAATATTTGACACAGCATAGGTTCTGACACAGAAAGAATGTGGTCTAAGAACTTCAATTTTTTTAATTTACCTATTATGGTCCAATGTCCAAAATCAAAATACATGGTTAGATTCGGCATATCAAAGAACCCCATATATTCAATTTTTGTTGAAATCAAACAAAGTTTAATTTTGGACCCCAATTTGAACAAACTTGAAAACTGGTCCCATAATCAAAAATCTAAACACATGTTTAGATTCAGCATATCAAAGTACCCCAAGAATTCAATTTTTGTTAAAATCAAACTAAGTTTAATTTTGGACCCTTTGGACCTTAATGTAGACCAATTTAAAAAACGGGACCCAAAATTAAAAATCTAAAAACACGGTTAGATTTGGCATATCAAAGAACCCCAATAATTCAATTTTTGATGAAATCAAACAAAGTTTAATTTTGGACCCTTTTGACCTCAATATGAACCAATTTGATAGCGGGCCCACAAAATAAAAAATCTAAATACATGGTAAGATTCAGCATATCAAAGAACCCCATATATTCAATTTTTGTTGAAATCAAACAAAGTTTAATTTTGGACCCCAATTTGGACCAACTTGAAAACTGGGCCAAAAATCTAAAATCTAAATACATGTTTAGATTCAGAATATCAAAGAACCCCATATATTCAATTTTTGTTGAAATCAAACAAAGTTTAATTTTGGACCCCAACTTGGACCAACTTGAAAACTGGTCCCATAATAAAAAATCTAAACACATGTTTAGATTCAGCATATCAAAGAACCCCAAAAATTCAATTTTTGTTAAAATCAAACTAAGTTTAATTTTGGACCCTTTGGACCTTAATGTAGACCAATTTAAAAAACGGGACCCAAAATTAAAAATCTAAATACACGGTTAGATTTGGCATATCAAAGAACCCCAATAATTCAATTTTTGATGAAATCAAACAAAGTTTAATTTTGGACCCTTTTGACCTCAATATGAACCAATTTGATAGCGGGCCCACAAATAAAAAATCTAAATACATGGTAAGATTCAGCATATCAAAGAACCCCATATATTCAATTTTTGTTGAAATCAAACAAAGTTTAATTTTGGACCCCAATTTGGACCAACTTGAAAACTGGGCCAAAAATCTAAAATCTAAATACATGTTTAGATTCAGCATATCAAAGAACCCCATATATTCAATTTTTGTTGAAATCAAACAAAGTTTAATTTTGGACCCCAACTTGGACCAACTTGAAAACTGGGCCCATAATCAAAAATCTAAACACATGTTTAGATTCAGCATATCAAAGAACCCCAAAAATTCAATTTTTGTTAAAATCAAACTAAGTTTAATTTTGGACCCTTTGGACCTTAATGTAGACCAATTTAAAAACAGGACCCAAAATTAAAAATCTAAATACACGGTTAGATTTGGCATATCAAAGAACCCCAATAATTCAATTTTTGATGAAATCAAACAAAGTTTAATTTTGGACCCTTTTGACCTCAATATGAACCAATTTGATAGTGGGTCCACAAATAAAAAATCTAAATACATGGTTAGATTCAGCATATCAAAGAACCCCAAGAATTCAATTTTTGATGAAATCAAACAAAGTTTAATTTTGGACCCTTTTGACCTCAATGTGGACAAAGTTGATAACGGGGCCCAAAAATCAAAAATCTAAATACATGGTTAGATTCAGCATATCAAAGAACCCCATATATTCAATTTTTGTTGAAATCAAACAAAGTTTAATTTTGGACCCCGATTTGGACCAACTTGAAAGCTGGGCCCATAATCAAAAATCTAAATACATGTTTAGATTCAGCATATCAAAGTACCCTAAAAATTCAATTTTTGTTAAAATCAAACTAAGTTTAATTTTGGACCCTTTGGACCTTAATGTAGACCAATTTAAAAAACGGGACCCAAAATTAAAAATCTAAAAACACGGTTAGATTTGGCATATCAAAGAACCCCAATAATTCAATTTTTGATGAAATCAAACAAAGTTTAATTTTGGACCCTTTTGACCTCAATATGAACCAATTTGATAGCGGGCCC